GATAAATGCTTTAATCCTACCAGAAATGTTAAGAATTCCCAAACCCTACAGAATATTTAAATCGCAGTCCAATGAAAATTCAGGCCAGCTTGACTTTTACAGACATTTTAGCATTATTTTGAACCTTAAGATGTTTTATCTAACAAATGCTAGTAACTGCTTTAAATCTAAAAGTCAGGCAATGTAAAGTTTCGAGGGGAAAATTTTCAAAAATGTATCTTTTCTAAGCTTTGCATAGCTTTTTATCCAATCTTAATTGAGCTCTTTTATTGATCTAGGAAATAAAAACAAAATATTCTTCACAGTAAAACATCAACTCCATAAATTTTAAAGGAATTTATTTTACAACCAGGAGCAGACTGACGTTGTTGACACATTTTTAGCTTTGGACTGCAGGGGGCAGAAGGTGCTAGAAGGCATTCCTACAGGAAAAGCCCAAATCCCCCAGACAAAGTAAAAGCAAGTTCTAACAAAAGAGGCAGATGATTTTGCAAATTCACTGTAGCTTAAGGCTTAACAAACTGCCATAATAAACCACAAGAACCCTCCATTTTTAACTGCCGCACAATTCAAGTGCCCCTTCTTAAAAATGCAATTAATGTTTCGAGAAAAAAAAAATCTCTAAAGAAAGGGTAATGTTTAAAACCGAAAGCACTTTCATTGTACAGAATTTGAGAAAATTTAAAAGTCCCATATTGAAATTTGGGTGGAAAACCATTTTGAAAAACCACCTTCGATTATAAATGAGTTCCTGTTTCACATTTGCTTTGATAACCAAGGAAATCTCACTCTTAAACATGTCAGGTTAATTGGGTAACTAACAGCATTTGAATAAAGCAATTTGCTTCAACTCCCCCAACTTCAGAAAAGGCAGGCACTCTATTCCCTGCCCCCTCTTTTTAAATCTAGGAGGGGAAAAGTGTGAAACTTGCTCATTGAGCAGTTAATTCCCAACTGTAAATTGGTAATAACAAAGTGCTTGAAACAAAAAACCCCTAAAGCCTGCCCTTTCATCTGATCGCTCGAGTTTGACAAAAAGCATGCATGATCTTTCAGAATAGGTCTAAGGACACAAAGCAGGTTTCAGTTAAGCAACACCAAACTGCTGCCCCTGTTCATTTGAGAAAGAAAAAAGGTAGGAAGGAGGGAGGGAGGGGGAAAGGAGAGAGAGGGAGCAGAAAGAAAGGAAGAAAGAAAGAAAGGAAGAAAGAAAGAAAGACAACCAAGCTTTCTTTACAAACGTTTCCAAAGCATGCACAAAGGCTGAAGGAACAGGAAGTTAAGACTTGGTGCCTTGGGCGCGCCAGCTGATGTGTTCAGCGTTGCTAGACCACGTTTGCTACTGTCAGAGCTGTTTTCATTAAAACTCGCTCCGGATTGTGGCTCGACTTGGAAAAACACAGGCTTTTTCCCTTGTTACTCATTTCCTACTGTAACAGAGCTTTTGAAAAGTTTCCCGGTCAGGACTTGTTTCCAATAGTCTCGCTTTGCTTACACTTTTTGAAAAAAAAAAAATGCGGTTGGGGAGGGAGCGAGGTGGGTGTGGGACAGAATCACAAGCCTCTTACTCTACCCACATACAAGGAAATGTTGTTCAGAAAGCCACAGGATGGCCTGTGGAATCCATGGCGCTAAGAAGCAAATCTTGCTTCTTCACTTTCTTTTTCTGAACCTCGGAAACAAGGTTGTGCGGGTGGGAGAGCTTGGGTTTTAAAGATCTAATGGAGACTAGAAAAAGAATGTGGGGAAAGATCAAAGGAAAAGTTTAAGGATAAACAAACTTAACAAGTCTCCCCTTTGGACAAGTAACTCGGATGGAACTTCACACCCAAGTCACTAAATCCACAGCGCAGCACGGCCCTAAACTGATTCAACGGGGCTTGGAAACCCCGTGAGGACACTTGGGGGTTTCCTAGTCGAGCCTTCTCCCAGCCAGTTCCGAAGCCATTTTGGGAGCTTTTTCGGGCTGCCTGGCTTTCTACGAAGGCACTTTATTATCAGACCAGTCTTTGTTCTTTAGTTGAAAGATGTTCAGACTTTCCTAAGACAGACAATAGGCGGACAGGTTTAAGCAGTCCTGGCCCAAGGACAGGGAAGCTTGCCCTCCCCTCCCAGGTAGTCTCCGGCAGGGAGAAGGCAGGGCTGAAGAGGCTCGCAGTAGAGGGAGGAGCCGGAGGGGAGCAAGCAGCTTTTGTTCTTTGGAGTTCAACCCCTACTGAAGCCCACTGCACAAGTTAGCAACCAAGCTGGACCAGGATTCCTAAGGAACTCGAAATGGAACAATAGGGCTTATTGCCTTAGGGGTCTGCCCCCATTCCAGACCATGTGCTGGGGAAACCTAAAAAGGGAAAGGAGCCCAAGCAACCTCAGCAGTCCCCCCACCATAAGCTCTGAAGCGGCTGCGGCAAAGTTTCCCCTCCAACACGTCACCGTTCATTGTTTCCACGAGTTGGAGATTGACTTGCGGGACCCACGCGCTCTGGGCTGGGGACCTCTGATGTTTTCCCCAGACCTTGCATCTAAAGAAGGGGACACCCAAAAAGGAGGAGGCTAGTAACCGGTCCCCCTCACCACCCACGGAATCCCGGCTTCGCATTCCGCACCGCACCGGGAACCACTCAAAACCAAAACACCTCATGTAGAGGCTACTGGAAGAGAACACCTCCCACCAGGTCTACATCTGTCAGTCTCGTTAGAGTGACAGGACTCTGGAGAGGATCCCGAAGCCTTCCCCAAAGCTCAGTTAAACCCTTCCAACTCTAAGCGCCCAAGCTCTCACTGTACCAGGATGGAGATGGGCAAGGCGGCCTACTTAACCAAGTACCCGGGGTCTTCATGAGTTCCGTATGTTTCAGGGTCTCTTACGAAACTACATCAACACAACTCTGTAAGGGAGAAAGCGGGGAGGAACCCCGGGGTGTATGTGTACGGAGGTGGCCACCGTAACCGTGTTCCGTTGGAACTGCAGTCGTTGGAACTGCAGTGGCGGTCTGGGTCTGAAAGAATGTGGAGTAACAAACTCGAGGAAGCTCTTGGGCATGCGCAGCAGCGCCCCCTCGCGCCCCCGTCCCGGGCGCCAGCTTCCCCAAGCGATTAACTTCTGTTTTGAACCACCCCACATAAATCACAACAGAAAAGCCAACTCTAGTCCACGACTGAACACTCGAGGGACCTCCCAGTCAGGGATTCCAAAGTTAGCTTCAAAAGGGACTTCACAGGCTTTTGACCTTTCGGGTTTTTTTTCCTCTCCCCTGTGTATTTTGTTTTTAAACCAGACTGACGGCAAGTTTTAGTTGTAAAGCTTGGTGGAAACAATGACAGTTTCGCTCTTTGCACTTACAACCAAGCCTGCTTGTCACACTTGAACACATTCTGACTGCATGGTACTAGTGTTCTAACAGCTCACGCTGTGCTAAATTCATCGTGGGAAAACTTTTAAAAGCTAGTAATCTTAAAAGTCCAGCTTCCCTCGCCCTAGAATGATGTGTGGGTCCTGGATCACATTCTTTTGATAGTGAAAGGAAAAAAAAAAAAACCCAACCACATCCCTAAAAAACAGTACCGTGGTCTGGTGAGTGAGAGCACCCGGAACCGAACTTTTAGACAAAAGGTAAGGTGGCTGGAATGCGCTAACGACCCCCCACAGGGGAAAGCGAGGTGTGGGGGTCCCCTTAGACACCCAACCCACACCCTGTCCCAGAAAACAGCACTAGAGACCACGCGGCGGCTGGATCGAGCATGGGGTGTCAGTGAAGACAATGAAACTTGGAGGCGCACAAACAAGGCGCAGAGCGTGTTTCTTGACAACGTGCCAGCAGCGTGGTGAGGCTGTTCCCCACAACAGCCCCTCGTGTTGTGTCTAGAAGGAAAAGAACAGCAACTGCCATTCGAGACACAGCCTCAACAAAGAGATCGGCCACTTCTCCGGCCCCGGGTGCCACTGGGCGGAAAAGTCCACCAAGTCAGTGTCCCCCGATCCAGCGCGGCCCGCACATGTCCCGCACTGAAGCCCCGGGTGCTCACAACCCGCCGCAACCTTACCCTTTTTGCTTTTCATTCTGGAACTCCCGTCCCAGCGAGAGGTTAAGCTGGGGTTTCTAGGGGCCAGCAGTCGGAGTGGCAGGGAGGGCGGGCGATGATCCTCCTTTACTGGCGCTCCGGTAACTTACAGAAGAGTATTCCAGCCACTATTGCTACACAAGGTGCTTGGGTCCCAGGCGCTGGCTCCTGGGTTGGAATTCAAGTGACACTTGGGCTTTCTCCAGCCAGGATCTTCTGGCAGCCAGCCGGGGGCTCTCTCTGGCCCAACTCACTCCCCTCCCTACTCAACTCCTTTGTTTCCCGCTCCACTCCGCGCACCTCGGCGCTGTCAGAGTGAGAGAGCAGAGGGAAGGTACAGGAGGTCCTGCCTCCGCCCCCAGCCGCCCGCCCAGTCCCCCGCCCGCCCAGCCGCTCCTCTGCCCCTCCCCCGCACCTTCCAGCTCAACAGTCCTGATGGGGGGGACGCGGTCACTGGTCCCTCTCTGAGGTGGCGGAGCCCAGAAACAGGGTCATGCCTGCCTGCCCGAAGCGCTAATGCCGTCCACATCCCTCAGACCTCGGCGGCCACACCGGTTTCTCCTCCGGGGCCTTTCCTCCCGGGCGAAAAGTGCTTTTAGTTTGCAACAGATGGGGAGAGAGTTAAGGACACCTCCTCCTTCACTCCGGTCCATCCCAGAGAAGAAAAGACACCCCCACCCTTGTTTTTGACAGCTGCCCCAAACTCCACTTGTCCCTGCTCCAGCCGCAAGAGGCAGCGGCTGCTGATTCAAGGGGTGGGGCACCGGAGGAAAAGTATTCCGGACAAGAACCAACTTCTTCCAGTAGGCGCAGCTGCCATTGACACGCGGGCGCGGCGCACCCTTCTCCTCGTGGACTCTTCTTGACAGTGGGAGGTGTGTGTGGAGGTGAAGCGCGCGGGGGTTGGGGGGGGGGAGGATGAGACACAAACTTAGGCACCCTAGGAGAATGTCTGTTCCCCCAGGCTCTGAGTTCCGGATTGGATTGCAAGACAGTTTCGAAATCTAACACGTTGGGGATAGACACTTGTCATGCTCACATGGTCTTTAAACGTCTGGGCTTGGGGATGACTGGGGCGCGTGTGTGCCCGCTACTACCCCACACACACAACGCCCACCTTTGTAGAGAAGGGTTGACCATGCCGGAGCTGCTTGTCCGTTTCGGTAAACAGTATCTAACTTTGTGGGCTACAATCCCTACCAGAGGATACCCCTTTCACCCTTCAGTATTTCAAACAGAAACTAGCCATTGAGTACACACTCGTTCCTATTGGTTTATTTTGCTTGAGAGGGGAGCTCCAATAGGAGTTCAACTATGAATCCCCCCCACCCCCGCCCCAAATACAACCCAGATGCTGTTTTGGCTGATTTCAAGATGTGCATGCCCGCACTTCTGGGTTTAGTTTTCACCTATGCCCATTAGTTTAAAAAAAAAAAAGCAAACCAACTGTCACATGTCACAGAAGACTTTCCCCATTACTTAAAAAAAAAGAAAAGGAAGAAAAGAAAAACCCCAAACGTAAATAAGCCGAGCAGCGACGTCAGCGCCAGTGTCTGTCTCCAGTTTCGACTCTGTGGCTGTTCTGGTTTTGTGACCTCGGTGGAGATCCGGCAGGAGGAGACATCCCGGAGAAAACAAGGTTAAAGCCGAGTCACACTAAGGCGGCCACAGAATGACCCGCTAGACTTTGGAGTCTGTTTACGATTACGTTGGAAATTAACGCGTGCCTTTGCCGCGCCCCCTTCCCAAAGACAACCCCTCAGGGGAGTGCGTTAAAACCCAGAGTCAAGGAAGCTTGGAATACATTTTCCAAAATGAACCAACTGCGGGAAGCGTCACTGTGACGCTACCCTACCCCCAACCCACCCCGCGCGCTCCCCGGTGGTTTGCAGAGTGCACGCGCGGAAATTAAAGCAAGCGGCGGTTGTAGGACCGTGTCCGGGGAGACAGACAGAATCCACCGGCTGGCAAACCCCTCTGCAAACTGCCCGGGTCGCAGGGCTTTCCGGAACCTGGCTGGCGATGACTCAGCTGCTGCGCCCGGGTGCGGGACTGATGTGATGCGGGGAGGGGGGCCGCCCGTTGGAGGGCCGCCTCTGTCTGGTTTTGAAGGGTTGTTTGTGGCTGGGATTGGCGGCTCACATCCACTGGGGACTCTGGAGAGGAGGGGAGAAAGACGCGAGGAGGAGGAGCTGGACCGCGTGAGTGGCAGGAGTCCGGTTCGGGCCCGGCGGGGACTGCCTTAGTCGCTTTGTTTGCTAACTTGGGGCAGTGGCTTCGGGGCCACTCCACGGAACCCGCCTCGGGTCGGCTAAACCCAGCCGGGGCAGCGCGAGGCCGAAACGTTCCTTCCCGGCGGTTACCCGCGCCCACGCGGTGGCTCTCATTATGTACACAAAGGTAGCTTTTCTTTTCTCCAAGTCAGCCTGGCTCACGAATGCGATCCGCAGGCAGCAGAAATGGAAACCGGGTTTAACGGTTTGAAAACAAACTTTACAGGGCTAAGCGGGAGGGGTGGAGAGAAGTAGAAGCCACTTTCAAACGGGCACCGGAGGGAAAAAAAAACGCAGAATAAAACTCACCGTGACGCGAAGGCCAGCTGGACCCCGCCAAGGCACACCTTCTGCTCGTGTAAATCATTTCGAGGCCGTTAGGAAGCGGGAACGCGCTGGCCGGATTCTGAGATCAGCTGGAGCCTTATGGTGCCCCTCCCCCACCCCTTCCACCGCTGCGGCCGGAGCGGAGCTCGTTAGGAGCTGCGAATTCCTGCAGGAGAGTGCATCCGCTCTGCACAGCTACAGAGAAGGAAATCTCACCCCACCCCCCAGCTCGAGCTTGTAGCACCAGCAATATATATACATATTTTTTATCCGCTGTCTGCACGGCAGAAAGACGAGCTTCAGTTCTGGCTGTGTCACTCTGAAAGTCTCAGGGCCTCTTCCGCGTCACTGATTCAATTGACTTTGGGTTAGTTGTTGCTGCCACGTGTTATTTGATGGATTTTTAAAAATGCCTTTTCATCGAATTGCTTAAGTACAACCGAGCAGTGGCCTTGTGCTCTCACAACTTAGGGACAAGCCTAGGTTTTCCACCATTATTTGTTATTTATCTTCTTTGCGGTACACGCAGTCCCGGTTGGTGCCTTAAGCCAAGCAGAGTTAAGACAATTTTCCCAGTCTGCAGACCCTGAGCAGGCAGAGATTCAAATGGCACAAACTTGGAAAAGCCGAGGGAAGAGGCCAGTAGCAACAAGTTTGTTATTATTGGTACCAGGCCTGTCAAATGATGGAGTTGTCCGTTTTGTCTGGGCAATTGCTTGGGTGTGATTGCCATCAGGTGCTGGCCCTGGCTGGGGAAGGCTGACTCACATGGTCATTGGATCTCTTTTGCTTGCAGCCCAGCAAGGGCAGATATTTATAAAATATGTAGGTTGCTGGGCTCCAAACACTGCACAGGAGACCTGCAATCATCTCATCACATCTCAGGTCTGGGAGGGGTGGGGGGTAGCCATTGTCTTTTCAAGGGCCAGCCATCTTGTGAGTTTATCAACATTATCAGGTAATTCTCTTCTTCAGGTGTAGGCAGCTGTCAGGGCTGCTTTTGCTTTTGAGTACTTTCTAGGAAGCCCACACAACCCCCCACTCATTCTTATTCCACAGTGGAAGTCACTTTTATTTACTGGATGATTTGAACTGAAGTTCCTGAAAAAGCCACACAGTATTGTTTGTGTGGACTGGTTGCCAGATTAGAACGTCTGGTTGGGGAGAGCTGAGATATGCAGAGCCAAATTATCCTGATCTATCACAAGTCCCATCCACAGTCATTCATTGCCTACTCTGCGTCTAACCTGCCTCTTTGGCCCATCAGTTAAGACCTTTAGAAGAAGGGGGGCGGTTAAGAGCATTGCCTGCTCTTTCAAAGGTCCTGAGTTCAATTCCCGGCAACCATGGTGAATTACATATGGTGGCTCACAACCATCTGTAATGAGGTCTGGTGCCCTCTTCTGGCCTGCAAACATACACACAGACAGAATATTGTATACATAATAAATAAATCTATAAATAAACAAAACCTTTAGAAGATAATCGCTTAACCGACCGGCAGCTTCCACCAACTCCGTGGCATCTGTTCTGCTCTGACTTGCCTCACCAATGGATGTGATTATCAGTTTACATGATAACTTCCTTGGTGGACCATGTCTCTGGGGTCTACCCAGGCTCGGGTTTTCCAGGCCACAATCACTTTCATATTTGGCTCAGAATAAACTATCTCTTACTGCCTTTGGGATACGATCTTGGTTTTCCTCTGATGATGGCCTTTGGCCTCCAGGGGACAGAACAAAGAACAAACTCATTGAGCCCAGTCTTTATCCACTTTACTTTCAACATCTGTTTTTAGGGGGTGGTGGGGATGAGGCAGGATTTCTGCGTGTAACCCTGGCTGTCCTAGAACTCACTCTGAAGACCAGGCTGGTCTCAAACAGATTCACCTGCCTCTGCCTCCCATGTCCTGGTGACTTTCAACATCTTGTACCTTCATTGTGCTTCATAGTTTCTGAAACATTTAAATGTTCCCATTAATATCCAAACTATTGTATAAATTATGTTTTTCTTAAAACCAAGATAACATGAACAACGCATTCAATTATGGCATAGCTAAAAGACATAAAACAAGGTATTGGGCATAGATTGCCTGGCTCTCAAGGAAATTCTATCTTTCTGGCAGGTTGGAGTTAGATCTAAGATCAGAGACACCCAAGATCTCAATGCTGGAAGTTACTAGATTTTCACCCCATCTGTTTTTTGCACAGTTTCTGTTCACTCTTCATTTGTGTATATGTGGGGTCGGGGTACACAGGTGTCACACTGGGAAGCGAGAGCTGGTGTCTTCCTCTGCCTCTTTCAGCCTTGGTCCCTTGAGACAGATTCCCTTTCTGTCCAGAACCCAAAGCCTGAGGGTTCTGCAGTCTGCTCTCTGGACTGACCTAACTCAGGCACCCACAACCATACTTTGCTTTTATGTAGATGGGTGATTCGAACTCAAGTCTTCATGTTTGCATAGCAAATATTTTAGCCACTGAGCCGTCTCCACAGTCCCTTCTCTCTTCCTTTTATTCTTTAACATTCTGGTAATGGGACTCCTGGCCTCACACATGCTTAGGAAGTACTCTACCCCTGGGTTTTTTTGGTTTGTTGTTTAGATTATTTATTTTATGAGTGTTTGCCCGATTACATATAAGTGCATGATGTGTATATTTGGTGCCTGTAAGAGGTCAGGAAAGGGTGTTTGATCCCCAGGAAATGGAGTTATGGGTGCTGGGAACTGGACCCCAGTCCTCTGCAAGAGCAGCAGATGTTCTAAACTACTGACTCATCTCTCCAGCCCCTAACACTGCCTTTTTAAAATAAGCAAGCCTGGTGGTGGTGGTGCACACATTTAATCCCAGAACTCAGGAGGCAGAGGCAGGTGGAGCTGGGTGAGTCTGAGGCCAACCTGGTCTACAAAGCAAGTTTCAGGACAGTCAGGGCTGTTACACAGAGAAACTGTCTTGTAAAAACAAAAACAAAGTGAAGTAAAATAACAAATAAGAGAGAACAAAATTCAAACAATGTAAAACAATTCAAACTCAGATATAAAAGCCCTTTTTATTATTTGTTGCGATGGTTTCATTGTGTAGCCTTGGCTGGCCTGGAACTCACTACATAGACTGGGCTGGCCTTGAACTCACAGAAATCACTGCCTGCCTCTTCCTCCTAAGTCAGTGGTTCTCAACCTTCCTAATGCTGTGACCCTTTAATACAGTTCTTCATGTTATGGTGACCCCATACCATACAATTGTTCCACTGCTACTTCATTATTAATTTTGCTGCTGTTATGAATTGTAATATAAATATCTTATATGCAGAATATCTGATATGTGACCCCTATGAAAAGGTCATTAGGCTCCAAAAGGGTCCTGACCCACAGGTTGAAAACTCATCTTAAGTTCCTGGGATTCAGACCCTAATTCCCATTTTATAAATGAAAACCTAGCAGAACTGATTTGTCCTGCAGGTTGACTTCCCTGGTCTAATGAGCCAATAGCGATACTCTGAGCTTTGCATTTTTCCTTACTTAACAATTATCTTAGTGGTGGGCATGTGATTGACCTTAAACTGAACTATTTAATGAGCAATAGAGCATAGATGTCAGGAGAAGGGAGTTTGCACTGGGGCACACTGGGAAGAATCAACATGTGTTTGCAGATTGTCAGGTAGTAGAACTTTGGGGACCCATGAGCGAATTACCTGTGGGGATCTGAGAGGTGAAATCTCACATATGCTCAGAGTTCCACCAGATATTGCCAAGGTATCCTCCATGTCCTGCCTCAGCTAAAATCCCACTCTTTCCTACAGTCTTGCTAACCCTGATGCTGCCATTTTCCTGTTGGTCTCTCTTAGATAAAACTAAGTTGCACCTGTTTTTTTTTAAGATTTATGTTTTGATTATGTGTGTATATGGGGGAGGGTGTGCACACGAAGAGTAAAGTGCTCTTCCCCGCTGAAAATCTGTCTCCCCAGGACCTGCACCTCTTGTTTTTTCTTATGTTCACATTTCTATGTTCACAAGGATCAGCTCGTGTGTGTATTACACATTTGTCATCTTGCCTATTCATAATCATAGCCACATTTTACTTTTCTTAAAAAAATTTGTTATTGTGGGATGGGGAGAGGGAAGGAGAGAGAAATAGAGAGAGAGAGAGAGAGAGAGAGAGAGAGAGAGAGAGAATATGCACCTGCTAACATGTTATATCATGCAGAAGACAGGGGGGTTATTCAGGAGTTGGTTCTCCCACCATGTGAGGTAGATCAGGCATAGCAACTGCTTTAACCAAGTGAGCTATTTTGCTGACCCCCTTTGCCAAATTTTTCTATGGTACCTTTAGGGGTTGGGGAATGAGCAAAGGCTGGCACGGAACCAGATTTGTAGATTCTGGATAAAACCCAGGCAACTGTTTTTTCTGTTTAGTGTTTTAGTCGGCAACCAGTGCTACAGCTCACGGAAATCAGCAAAGGGGATGTTAGTTAAAATAAAGCCGGAACTGGGCAGTGGTGAGGCAGAAGCAGGTGGATATCTGAGTGCGAGGTCAGCCTAGTCTACATAGCAAGTTTCAGGACAGCCAGGGCTATCCCCTCTCCCAATCCCTGAAAAAAGGATTTTTTTTTTTTAATGCACAGAAGTGTGTTCTAAAGGTGCTGCAAGAGATGTGGGCTGTGCTCTAGAAAGAGGTTATGCCTCGCTCTTTATGAGAACTGTATGATGTTCGAGTAAGGAAAGCCTTCCAAATCTGAACCCAGAATTACAGAGATATAAATCTGTATGTATTTCTATCGTATGGGTGAAGGCTACGGGCGGGACATGTGTGACAGACAGGACAGCCTTGTGGACTGGCTCTTCTTTCCCACTTTTTCGTGGGTGGCCAAAGATGGAACTCGGGCCAACAGCTCACCAGCAAGCCTTGATCCACTGCTGAGCCATTCAGCAGTACAGGACACACATCTTTATAAGCACTTCGCTTCAAAAAACGAAAGTACGATGAATAGAAGGAAAAATTCAGAATGTTTTTAAAAGCAGGGCCAGGCATACACATCATCCCTTAATTCCAGCACTCAGGAGGTCAAGACAGCAAGGGCTTGTTGTCGAAAAGCAGTTTTGTTTGTTCATTTTCTCAAATGCAAGGACGCCAGAGTAAAGAAGACCACACGTGAGATACAGACCTAGTTCAGTAGGAGGTCATACAGCTGTAAGAACAACCTGGTGTTAAATGAGACCAGGGCTGGAGAGATGCCTGGGTGGGTGGCTACTCTTGCCTCGAAGAGGACCTGGTTCAGTTCTTAGCACCTTTATCAGAAGGCTCAAAACCTCCTAAGTCCAGCTCCATGGAATCTGATGCCCTCTTCTGCCACCTCAAGCAGTCGGGCGCATGCATGTACACACACACACACACACACACACACACACACACAAATATTTCCAAAGTTTGACAAATGAATCTACAGGTTAGAAGTTTACAAAAATAATTAATGAAAAGAATCCAACAACTTTCCTGCCTTTTCTCGTTTTGCACATCAGCAGCAAAGCGTCCTGAGGGTGTGGGTACATTTAGTGATGTCACCTCTGAAGAAAGTGGGTGGAGAGGAAGCCGTGTCAATCATTCGTTCCAGGATTTCCGAAAAGATCGCTTTTTGTCTCCGCCTTCACATAGCTCCATCCGCCAATGAGAAGCCATGGGGTCTCAGTATGGACTCGAATAGTGACGCTTCTGGGACCATGAATGCCCATCGTTCTGACTGAAGAATCTCTGGATACACTTTTGGATGGTATCGTCAAAGTCAGGCCTCATGAAAGATCTGAGTGAGTTTGTATCTATATCGACAACCTTTCCTGAAAGGTCATGCCTGGTAACAAGGATCCCAGGACTTGGTGGGAAGGCCCTTTCCCCTGTAGTTACCCGGTGTGCCACGCAGATTACACAGCACTGCAAGCCTTGCCCTGATTTCAACGGAGCTCGAAGCTGAGACAGAGCGGGCGAAGCGCTCCATTGTTTCATATCCCTGGGAGCTTCAGGACTGGCATTCATGTCTTCCAAAATACCGTGTTTTCATCAGCATACAACGATGACTTTTTGTCTCTGGGCCTTTCTTGTCATTAGCCCAAGAAACTCACTCCATTATCTGCCGATTTGGGTAAGTGTTGAAGGAAGTCTTTTCCCTTCTTCCCCCGTAAGATGCTGTAGACACTTGTGTTAACTAGGTCCTCCTGCTTGTACTGCAGATACTGCGTGATATTTTCTGACGCAAGTACGATGCTGCCCCCTCGATCCACCACAAACGAAAACCATCCAATGTCTGTAGTAAAAACGGTCCTACCGAGTCTTTACCAGTGACCGCCTGTCCTATAGAAGACACGTCAGCTGTCTGAACATCATCATCACTGGAAACAGTTTTTCCTTGATGTACCTGTCTCACTGTTTCCTTTAAAATCACGTATTTATCTGGTTTGGCGTTGAACTTGTCAATACTGCTAAGATTTGCAGGTATCAGCTCAGTCAGTTCTTGTATTTGCTCTCCTCCTCCTGTCTCCACTTTTCACCACCCTAGGCAAGACCCTGCCCTACAGCGTCACGTGGCAATTGGCGTTTTCGAGACTCGGTGGCCAGCGGATCCAAGGAGCTTTCACCTAGTCCGCTCATCTTGAACACAGATCTGCAACTGGCAGCCCAATCAGTGAGGTCCAGGTAGGAGCAAATCTTTTTGATCCGCTCGCCACCATCTTCCTGAGTGCTGCTTCTCTGGATCGGAAACTCACAGCTCAGTCCCGGCGATCTGAGGAGCTGAGGCATGTGTACTATTCTTAAAGACAAGAAATCCTTTCCTTTCTTTTTTTTTTCTTTACAAAGTAAGCTACTCTCTTTTTTTTTTTAATTATGTGTCCATGTGTGGGTACATGCACAAAAATGAAGCTGTCCTTGGAGATGGCACTCAGAAGCCTTCCCAAGATGCATGCTGGGAACTGAACTTGGAACCTCTGCAAGAACGGAACATCTTAGCCAGCGAATCATTGAACCATCTCTCCAATCCAACCCCCCCCCCCCTTTTTTTTAACTTATTAAGAAAGTTATTTACTATGTGTATGGGTGTCTTGCCTGCATGTCTATGTATCACATGTGTGCCTGGTGCCCTCGGAGGCCAGAACAGAACTTTGGATCCTCTGGAGCTTGCTTATCGCTCTTTGTCAGTTGGCGATCTTCCCGCCTCTAAGAGTGCAGCCCGTGCTCGGAACCACCGAACCATTTCTAAAGCCAACCACCCATCATATTTTTAGGAAACCCTGAAGATAGAAGAGTGATCTCAGATACAATGATTTTGTCATTCCCAGCCTGGTTTTGTATGCTTTCAAACTTTTTATTATGGATATTTTTCCTTTTCTTTTTCTCACTCTACAGCTCAGGACCGAGTGGGAATTCACTAAGTAACCCAGACAGACACTGGCTTTGACAGTCCTCCTGTCTGAACCTGCAGAGTACAGGGGTTACAGGCATGTAACACCACGCCTGGTTCTATGTTTGGATAGGAGCAGAACTCGGGCCTTTGTGCAGGTGTCCTGCTCACTGAGCTACACGACCAACCCAAGAGCTATTGACTTTGGAGCTGTCTGTCTTCCTTCCTCTACATCCTCACGCTTTCTTCTTTTATTATTTGATATAAATCCCAGGGCTGGAGATATGGCTCCGTGGTTAAGAGCACTGACTGCTCTTCCAGAGGACCCGGGTTCAATTCCCAACATCCACATGGCCGCTCACAACTGTCTGAAGATCCAGTTGCAGGGGATCTGACACATTCATACCAATGCACATAAAATAAAGTTAAATAAACCATAAAAAATATTAAATCCCAAACATCATATCATTTCTGGCTCCGCGTTTATGATTAATGTCCTAGCTTGCCTGATCAGTAGTAGCTCTGAACTTCTGCAGCCAAAATGGCTTACTTACAATAGGGTTGGGTAGTTCCAGAATTAAACACTCCATTGTCTTTTTCTAGGTGTTTTCTGCTTCTAGGATTAAACCTTTTTCTTCAGAGAGGACAATTACATTTTGTCCTTAGTTGGGACTTCTGTGTTTTAGTTCTAGCAGTCCATTATTTAGGTCCATAAAGCGGTGGCATTCCTCCTTGGGACAGGTGTGTTCTTATATGTCCGTTTCCATTCTTTCTGCCGGCACCCGACACACTGTGCCCACTTCGTCGGCTTTGCTCTGTTGTCTGGTTGATGAAACACATTCATAGCTTTACACGTCTTTTTTTTTCCCCTGGTGCTGGAAATTGGATAGTCACTGTGACCAAATCCTCCACAGGAAGTAACTAGGGAAGAAAGTTTTATTTTGTCTCATTGTTTAAGTGGGCATGGAGATCCTCTCAAACAAATGCTTTAAGGAGACGAAATCTTTATCTTTCTTCTCTCCCTCCCTTCCTCCCTTCCTTTTTTTCTGTAAAACACACACACACACACACACACACACACACACGCACACACACACACACGCACACAGATGGAGAATGGGGTCCTTCAGCCATGTGGTTGGAGTGGGGACAGCTTTCAGGAGTCTTTTCTCTCCCTCCACCTTATTTTCTGGGAGAGTCTTTCCTGTCGCATCTACACTCAGGCTACGCGATCTGCAAGCTTTGGGCCAATTCTCTCATCTCTGTCTCCACCTCTCTGCAGGAGTGCTGGGCTTAGGGCTGCACACCACTGCATTAGTGTGAGTTCTGGGGACCAAGTTAGGTCAGGCTTGTGCGCCAAGTCCTTTTGTCCATCGAAGCCATCGCCCCATCTCAGGGGGGCCATTCAGTAAATGGAAAGAGATTACAAATAATGCAGGCTTGACTCGACCGCGCCTTGTATGTGAGACAGGTATACAGCTACCACAGCCATTGCTTACTCTGTAGTGAGTAGGTGTGCCACCTCAAGAAGAAGACGAAGCCACCTCAGGCCAGGCTCATGCCAAAGTATAGACTGTTATGTTAGTCTGTAGTACTTTTTAAATTTTTACTTTTTGGAGACAGGGTCTCACTGTACAGCCCTGGTTGGCCTGGGACTCAGATCTTCTGCCTGCCTCTGCCTCCTGAGTCTGGGATTAAAGGTGTACACCACCATGCCTGACCTCCGGCTCATAATTTTTAACTTTAATATAATTTCAGCCTTACTGAGAAATTTAAGAATAGTACAAAGAAATCCAATATACTCTTTACCACCCAGACTCTACAGTTCGAGTCACGATTTTTCACATATACATACATGGCTTTATATCCATATGCATACGCATGACTGCTTTTCTCCCCTTCCTCCCTTTAAAGAAGACTCTCTAGTGACTGCTCTGCTTCTCTGATCTTTCAGCATTAGCCCCTATATCTGACTCTGAGATTTTTATTATTAAGACCAATTAGATTTCGTGCAGGCGTGGGCGGCACAGGCACCTGAGGCGGCCAAGAGAGGGCATCAGATCCAGGAGAGCTGGGAACCTCCCAGTGCGGGCACTGGGAACTGAACATGAGTCCTCTAGAAAAACAGCAAGTTCTCTTAACCACCAAACTCTTTCTCCACACCACACAATCCTTTCCCACATACCTGTGTTTTACTTTCCTTGAGTTATGTGATAGTGTATTGCAGAGTCATTGCCCATGGGCCCCTTTTAAAGACCTCAGTGTGTGTCCTAAGGACAAGGGCATCTCCTTACACATTAGAAGTGAGCACAGTTAAGAAGTGTTATCTAACACACAGACTGTATATTTTTCTACTTGTCAGATAATGTCCTTCATCAGAAACAAGCTTTCCTAAATTCAAATGAGGATCAGACATTCGTTGTATTTGGTTAACCTCTCTGGCTGACTTTCTTTCCTTCCTTTTGTTCTTTGATACAGGCTTTTTCTGTGTAGCCCTGGCTGTCCTGTAATTCACTTCGTATGCCAGGCTGGCCTTAACTCGGAGATCCACCTGCCTCTGCCTCCCAAGTGCTTGGATTAAAGGCGAGTGCTACCACCCCCTGGCTTCTCTCGCCTTTTTTTTTTTTTTAACCTGGTTACTTTGCATTTGTCTTTAGTAACCTTGACCTTTTTTAAAAGTAAAGACCGCTGTTTTAGAGTTCGCCTTCCAGTTTGGTGTTACCTGCTGTCACACTTAGACTGAAGCTGTTCGTGTTTGACAGTCACGTTTCAAGAGTGACCTTATGCCCTTCTCAGTGCAGGTGCCAAGAAACACATGATTTCAGCATTGGCTTCTTTTGTTAATCTCGGTCACATGATTGAGATGAAGCCCCCCAAACTCTCCACTATGGGTATAATTCCTACTTTGTGATTGATAAACCTATCAAATGTATCAAAGTAGGAGGACGTCCTGTCCTGCAAACCTTCACCCTGTGCCTCCGCACTCCGTTTCTTCTCCTTTTCTCTGCTGTGTTCTACAGCGCAAGGAGCATCCCCTCCAGTGGATTACAGAACCACAGATGTTTGGAATCCTGCTTCATTTAGTGCCTTAATAGCCCATTATTACTATTAGTGAAAAAATTCTCAGATTTACCCAGAGGGAGTTCCTCATACTGGTTTATTTTTTAATTAAATTTATAGACAATTTTATCTATACAATGCATCGATACATTCTGGTTACTCCCCCCCTTTCGCCTCCCCCTCCCCCTCTTCAATCCTTCCTCTTCTCCACAAGTCCATTTTTCATGTTCATGTCTCTTTTTTTGTAGATTTTAAAAGTTTTATGTATATGAGTGTTCTGCCTGAATGTGTGCATGCGTTCCATGTGTGCCTGGTACCCACAGAGACCAGAAGAGGACATTGGATTCCTTGGAGCTGCAGTTAGGATGGCTGTAGATCACTAGGTGAGTGTTAAGAAGGAAACTTGGATCCTCTCCAAGAGCAACAGAGCTCTTAACCTCTGAGCCATCCCTCCCTCCAGCCCCTCATACCTTTTTGTTTTGTTTTGTGATCCGCTGAGTTTAATCATAGTGGCTCATGTGACCTTGGGCGAAGGAAGTATTGATTGACACTGGTAGACCCACCAGAGGGTACACAAGTGAGGACAATGACTTCCTCTTCCCCAGCAGCATCCAGGAGCCAAAAGTTTCCTAAACTGGTTTCCTCATCCGTCTCTACCTTCTTCGATTTTCTTTCTGTCCAGTACAGCAGTGTGTTTCAGGTGCATGTTACATTTTCCCTGTTCCAGCCCTGGCTAGTCTCAGTGGAAAAGGGCCTCATTTATAGACACTGAGTTAGGCTCAAGGCTGGTGCATTGCTACTGGACCATCATTGCTTCTGGATTTCTCAGCAGAGGTGAAAACACACACAGACACACACACATACACACGCATGCACACACATGCACACATGCACATGCCTTCATATGTTGAAAATCACAAATTCAAGCAGGGTATGATGGTAAAGAGCTATACAGTTATAATTCCAGTTCTTAGAAGACTAAGGCAGGGGGCTGGGAGTTTGAGGCCTTTCTGGGCTATATAGACAAGAAGAGTCTGTGTCTGAAAAAAAAAAAAGAATATGTGTGTGTGTTTGTGTGAGTGTGAGTGAAGGGAGAGAGAAAGGGGCATGCATGTATTCTGATACTTCTGATTTCAGTCCAACACTCCAGCACCTCCTTCTGTTCCCACTTCTGATATCCCTGTCTCTCCTTTCTAACTGCGAGAAGCCTGCTTCCCACTGCCAGGGTAATGAGTACTTAGCCTAGAATATGGCGGCAGGCCAGCACAGAGAGCAGCCTCACCACTGAGAGTTAAAT